TCCATTTCTAGACTTAGCATGTAAGACCATTTCTAAACATTCCATTCCACATATTGCTAACTAGTACCAAAGGAACGTAGACCCTACCCTCACCTTAGCCTTATTGATTGGATTGATATGGAAAAATGAATATAGAAGAATGGGCTACTGTGAATCTACATTTAGGAAATAATGTTTTAACATTCCACTATTAAACTTCCTAAAATATTTAATCGATTCAGCCAATTTATACCAGTCAGACAAAACGACGATAACTTCTTATGCGTACCTCATATTAAAATTAACTCAGTGTCTTTGGAAAGCCAAGACTCGGAGATTTCCAATGATATCAAGATCGTCTTCTGGGTTCTTACAAATCAATAGGAAATCAGCTCGCAAGTTTTGTGATCAGATTTGAGGATAAGAATTCCAATTTTAGAAACACTGATTTTTTCCAATATTGAAATACGAATGGCCACCATACCTCGTAATTTAAAACCAAAAGTTTCTACAAAAACTAAAATCCGTGATATTTCCAACGACCAAATCAACATCTAGTTATTTCGGACTTGGCCGGAAAACACCTATGAAGTCAGTCGCATGTTCACTATGCACATATCTATCCTATAAAATTCCAATAACTTTTAGACCATAACTCCGAATGACAAATGGTTTTCGGCTATAGAAAGATCTGTGAGTCGACTACTTACCCAGAGAGTTTCGTTTGATTCAGATGTGTTGTGACTGTCTGTTTATCTCCTGCCATACGATGGGACATATGTGCTTCCTTTCACGTTCAGCTTCTTCTTTGTCCCGTCTATGGTCTTCTTCTCTTTCTTTCTGCCTCACGAGTACTCAGCCTCCTTTGCCTCTTTTTCCTTTCACGACAAAGAGAATCTCATTCTTTAGAGCATCTCCAATGGTAGTATTTAGGGAGTATCTAAGAAAGTTTCTAACCATTAAAATAAAGAAAAAATAGAAAAAGTAGGAGAAAGGGTGAGAATCGGTTCTAATATAAGAACCCCATGAGAAACTCTTGAGACATTTGTCTCTTTATGAGTGGTTTAACTTTCTTTTTCGAATTAAAATTTAGTTATATAGTTG